GTGGGGTCCCCGGGCTGTGTGGGAGGATGGGGGCGTCTCAGGCGGGGCGCGTGGGGTCCCCAGGCTGTGTGGGAGGATGGGGGCGTCTCAGGCGGGGCTCGTGGGGGCCCCGGGCTGTTTCCCCCTCACAATTCATATTTTCGGGAGGCGCCGTGTGGGGTGTCACCCTGGCCCAGCCTCTCCTAGTCTGGCGGTGGCTTCTTGTATTGGCTCTTTAGACACTGAGTGAAGTAGCGCAGCTTCCCCGGACCTATGGGACTCGAACCCATAATCGACAAAAGGAGTCACCCACACTCAACAGGGCTGGGAATCAATGGCCATGGTGTCTGACTTCCACTATACCAAGACTTCACTAGTACAGCAATAAACTCAACTAGCTCTGGGTATTTAAAGGCAAGATCCATGGGGGAAGGGGACGCCCCGCGTAGTTTCTTTTTTTGGGGGGTCTGGTCGTGGGGCCTGAACTCTGGGCCTGGGCGCTTTCCCTCAGCTCTTCAGCTCAAGGCTAGCGCTCTACCACTTGAGCCACAGCACCACGTCCAGCTATTTTTCTTTTTGCTTATGTGGTGCTGAGGAATCGAACCCAGGGCCTCATGCATGCAAGGCAAGCGCTCTACCACTGAGCCACATTCTCAGCCCCACAGTGGTAGTTTCTTGATCAGCAAAGAAGCAAGTTACAGAAGCAGAGCTAGCAGTTAGTGATTCCAAAATGGCAATTGTAATTCCAGTCATTACACTAACCAAGGCCATAAGTCACAAGGCAAAGTCCTTATCCCAGATCTTCCCATCAGAGAAGGAAGGTAGCGAAAATAGCAATGACAGTCTATAAGCAAAGCAATGTCTTCGAAGCAAAAACCACATTCCAATTTTTTTTTTGTCGGTTGTGGGGGCTGAAATCTGGGTCTGCGTGCTGTCCCTCAGCTCTACAGCTCAAGACAAGCACCCTACCACTTGATCCACAGTGCCACTTCTGGCTTTTTTCTGGTTATGGGGTACTGAGGATCGAACCCAGGACCTCATGCATACAAGGCAAGTACACTACCAGTGAGCCACCCTCCCAACCCTTCCAAATTTCTTATCACACCTAAAAATCAAACTGCCTTCCAGGTTTTCTGGCTCTTTCTGAGTTTCACTTTTATTTACCAAATTCTAGTAACCTGGTGGTTAATGCACTAATTTATTTCAAGCATTTATCTTTGGAATTTTTCCTTTTAATGATTATCCTGGAGTTTTTCTCTACAGGGAGATCCTGCCTTCCAAGCTTGGCCCTAGTTTTACTTTGCAAATTTCAGTAAATGCTAGACTGCAGTTTGCCCCATTCCTAGGTTCTGTACCTGTTTCTCAGGTTACTTGGGCCTTGTTTGTTCCAGTTACATTTCATTCTTCCTGGGTCTAATTAACACTGTGTTTAACATGGTTCTAACAAGCATCTCCCCAGGTATCCCAGGCTGGCCTTGAATTTGAAATCCCTTACGTGAAGGTGGCCAGCATGCAAGGCTCCCTTCAGTCTCCTTTCTATGATGGAAAATGAATTGCTATTTTTTTAGACCTTCCCCCATCTCTAGTCTGTGGTCTCCAGCTTCTTTTTCTTATCTCATCTTTGGACTATATTCCCAAGGATGGTCCCAAATGGTCTCCCAATCTACATTGTTCCATTGTTTTGAGTTATATGTCCTTGTGCTTTAGAGTCTAGGCAGGAAATGGCAGAGCTATCAAGGTTGTAGCTTGAACTCTTGTCCTGGTCACTGTCCCTGAGCTCCTTTTGCTCAAAGCTGGTGCTCTGCCACTTGAACCACAGCTCCAATTCCAGCTTTTTCTGTGGTGATTAATTAGGATAAGAGTC